CCCATACTCAAGTAATTTCTCCACAGGGAAAAAAAAACCTGCTTGCTGTTTGAAAGAAACAAATGTACACACATAAATAAACATACATTTTGTAAAGAACAACTGTTTTCCCTGTGGTCCATTTTCAGAAATCCAGATATGGAAATGTAATGATAAAAATGTATCCGTCAGATTACAAGGTGAAGAAGTCTGGTTCACTGGTATGAGAGCCAGCTATTTGGCTTATAAAAAGTAAAAAGCAGTACGTAGTTGTGAATGTACATGTTTATGGCCACAAGCTGGTATAGCTCGATCTTTTTTGAGAACATACAGATTTGATGCAGACCTATTTTGGGCAGGATGCTATTCTATTCTGTTAGGACTTGTTTTTCTTGTGTTCCAATGGCTGATTAAGTCTTGGGTAGGGCTTTTTTTTTTCTATCTGTGCATGTGTCTTTCTGATAATTTTTGTTTTATTTCATTAAAACAGAAAAAGCCTCAAAACCCTAAGCAGAGTTACAGCATCCAGTGGACTCGAATACACAGTTAAAGGTTTTAGAAAGAAAAATCGTGGGTTTTTTTTAACCAATGCTGTAGTCAAGGGAGGAAAAAACTGCAAAGAAAAGCAGCTGCAGCTGAAAGAAACAAAGTGCAAAGAGCGTTTTTGCTGTTGCTGTTTTTGATTTCATGTGAGGATTATAATGGGTCATAACCAGATGATATTGAAACATGGTCCAAGGGACAGGAAGACGTTTAATTAGTGGAAAAAAAGACCTCTAGCAGGTTGATTGATGCACAGATCTGTTTTCTAAAAGCCTATTCAGACCCTCGTATTCTCAGGACAGCCTCTGGACACAGCCTGGCTTGTTCAGATTACAGTAGGTTAATAACGATACTGAGAAAGATCAGCACTTTGCTGGACATAATTATGCCTTAGCTGAAAGTGGGGATTGTTGCATCCTGTTGAAATGAACTCTGTGTAGCAGAGCATTATCACTCCACTCTACTGGATATAAACATTTTGGCATTCACGTTAGCTGTCAGTTGTGGATAGTGGGAAGAGCGGAAAAAAGCCAGGGCCCAACATCGGCTCTGGGCAGAGCACATTTCAGCTCTTCATTACCTTGATGGGCAAATATACCAGCTTGGTTTTGCTGCACTGGGTGACCTGAGCTTCAGATACCACCACCAAACCTCTTGAGCTCAGCTGAACAAAGGTTGCCAGGCTGCTCCTGCACTTGCATTTGGGATGTAATTTCTGTGGGAAGATTGGAGACATAAATAGCAAAGGTGTAGGTTTGTGAACCTACACAGGATAAACGTGTCAGAGTGTGGGAAGGCAGACAGAGCAAAGGTCATCTCCACTAGTAGTCCTTTAAGGAGGAACAATTTTCCTGTTTGTTCCCACATCAAAACTCATATACAGAAACACTTTGGACAGTCTCTTTTCCACATGCAGCTAATAGAAAGTGATGGGGGAATTAGGTGCCAAATTAGCTATGAGACACCTTAGTGACTTTGTAGGTCTATTCCAAGGCTAAATCCTCCATAGGCTTCAGTGACTTTCCTAAAACTGTTAGTGGCACAAAAATTCTACATTTGCACATCAGCATCCAGAATGCTTCCTGTCAGATAGGTATCTTAAAGCAAACTCTATATTAGTGTCCATATATGGTGGTCCAAGTAGTGGCATACCTGTCAGAGAAAGCAAATTTGCACGTTGGGTTGTTTATATTCTTGTCATTGCTAGCTGCTTTGCTCAAGCCAGAGTTATTCTTCTCTGGGTTGTTATCCTAACATCTCAGCCTGATCCTTCTGTGCACCTGCAAGGATAGTATTAAGTGCTGCAATTCACCTGCAACCATTGCCTTTAGGTGTGAGAGCAAGCATATCCCAATGAGAGATTCCTAGGAAGCAGGGCTCTGGGACAATATTGGTCTAATGGCTGGTTTCTGAGTCATAAGGAGAGAAGTTGACACCCCTGAAGGCATGGAGGCCCTGCAGAGAGACCACGACAAATTAGAGGACTGAGCAATCACCAACCATGTGAAGTTCAACAAGAGAAATTGATGGATGCTGCACTTGGGATGGGGCAACCTGGATGTTTGTACAGACTGGGGAATGAGATGATGGAAAGCAGTGTCATGGGAAGGGAGCTGGGGGTCCTGATTGACAACCAGTTGAATGAGTCAGCAGTGCCCCGGCAGCCAGGAGGGACAACCGTGTCCTGGGGGCATCAGGCAAAGCATCGCCAGCTGGTCGAGGGACGGGATTGTCCCGCTCTGCTCTGCACTGGTGTGGTCTAACCTTTAATATTGTGTGCAGTTTTGAGCACCACAATATAAGAAAGATATTAAGCCATTAGAGAGTGACCAAAGGAGGGCAATGAAGATGGTGAAGGGCCTTGAGGGGAAGCCGTATGAGGATTGGCTGAGGTCACTTGGTCTGCTCAGCCTGGAGAAGAGGAGACTAAGGGGAGACCTCACTGCAGTCTACGACTTCCTTGTGTGAGGAAGAGGAGGGCCAGGCACTGATCTCTTTGTGGTGACTAGAAATGGCCTGAAGTTGTGTCAGGTGAGGTTTAGGTTGGATATTAGAAAAAGGTTCTTTACCCAGAGGGCAGTTGGGCACTGGAACAGGCTTCCCAGAGAAGTGGTCACAGCAAGCCTGGACAATGCTCTCAGGCACATGGTGCGACTCTCGGGGATGGTCCTGTGCAGGGCCAGGAGTTGGATTAAATGATCTTTGCGTATCCCTTCCAACTCGGCATATTCTGTGATTCTGGGAAGTTACAGTGGCACAGGCAGAGTCCTTCCAGTGACTTTGTGAGCTTTGGCTCTGGCCCACAGAGCCAGATTTGTGCAATGGTGTGAAAGCATCTTGGTTCTTCATCTGATGGGAGAGCCTGACAGCTTAATTATGCTGTCATAATTAAGAGGAGCAAAGCTCCTAGAAACAAAATCTTATGTCCTATGTGTTATGTTTGTGACAAAAATACTTACTTACAACCAAATTAGTTTGGTGAGGCAGACATAAATTAAGCTCCTTCTAAGTCTTCACACGTATCAAATTTAGGAAGTTAAAGACAGGCTATCTGAGCTACTACACTAGTAAACCAAGATTATCCTTCCTCCCTGAAATATGCTTAAAATCTTGACAGCAATTTCAATAGGACAAGCAATTTTTCTCTTCATATCTGCATGACCTCCTGGGTAACAGTGGGAGGTACATGATATGCCAATTGAAAGTGAAATAAAAAACATCTATAAACACAAGGCACAACAACCTTTTATCATGGTTAATACAAGAACCATAAATGCTGGCTCTGAGGATTCCTTTCCACATCTGTTTTTTCCCGTTGACATCTCTTTAGTTGCTGTCTCAATCTCTTCTTAAGTGTAGAATGTGCAGGGTGCCTCGGCATTTGGGTTATCATATTGAGGTAACACATGACTTTATATTCAGTGTGATGACACTGGTCTTGCTGATGGCGGTGCAGCAGCCCTTGAAATGTATCCAGTCACTCCACAACATTTTGGGGAATGCTGCAGTTAGCAAAGAGGGCAAATGTCTTAGCACTCTTTTGATGTTTTCTTTCCCAAAAGGGAAAAACCTGTGCATGCACACTGAGAGAGGGATGAAGTTAGGATGTGAGGATGTGCAGTAAAAATTTTCTTGGCTTTCTGTAGCAAAAGACACCTGTGGTGAGCATGTGGGCAGAACTGTTAATAGATGTGCCAGGTTCCCAGCTTCTCCAGTGGTGAAACGGGGACCAGCTTGACACAGCCTCACCACTCTTGAATGATGTTTTATTGCTGTAATTTAGCATAGGCAAGTAAAATGAGGTTGGACATTGGGACCTAATACCTGTTGCATCCAGCGGGAGTCATACACTCCACTAGCATGGATGGACTCCTACATGCTTACAGGAGTTTTCACAAACTGTTCAGACTGGCACACTGAATAAATATACACTTCCCTTAAATAAATATACACTTGCCTTCCACACAAAGCACCCAGAGCATTCACAGGTTTATATGAGCATTTAACAGAGGAAACAGCACTAGACCTATAACTGTCCACATCAATATCTGTTTATTGAGAGAAGCTGATTATTATTCAGCTGGAGCTACCAACAGTGATGTAGCAGAGAATTGTCATAGTATTTGTGTTGCTGAATTAATAACTGAAGAGCAGCCGTCACCAGCATTGTTGTTTATTGCTGTTCCAATGCACCAAGGCTGGCTTGTTTACAGGCATCATAACTAAAGAGCTAGAGTTCTCTTTATTTGCCACTAAGTAAGCCTGCAGGGAAGAGCACCACTTCCAGTGCCTCAGAAAGCTTGAGGAAGGCATTGTGGTCACTAGTTGTTACAGGTGAGGTAACTAAAAATACTTATCTCTCTGGACCCCCCCTCTATTTTGTGGTATTTTTTGTTCTAGAAATACCTACATTTATCAGTACTTTATATAAGCTTTTGACTGTAGGGCTAGTTTGTTAATAAATGCTCACTGGAATATAAAATATGTTCTATATTCAGTGAATAATATAGATAACTCCAAGCATATGACTTAAAATGCTGTAGGTGCTTATGAGCCATTTATAAGCAATTTATTATTGATCAGGAAGGAGGAATTGCACATTTATTACAATCCATGAATCCTGTACTAATCCTTTCTAAAGGGTGTTAAACGTTCGGTTAGAAATGAAGCATGAGCCACTGGCCTTTTAGCAGTGGGCTGTCTGGCTGACAGCTGATAACATCACACCAGATTCTTGGCAGCCTTGGGACACTCCAGAGCATTGTTGACCTGTCCTGCAGCCAAACATGTAGCCAGTACCTCTGGTTTTAGTTATCCCTTCCAACTGCTCTCAGCAGCCATGATTTTATGTCACAATTCCTATCAATTTCACGCAGTACTTTTCTTTAAGAACTGCCACTCTCTGTTTCTTTGGTTCATTCCCTGGCTAAATCTCTTTCTCCCCCCTTTTATGTGTTCCCCGCTCCTCTTCTCCCCAGGGCGAATGCTCACGGAAGTGCTATGACATCTTTGTGCTGGAGACGGTGTGTGTGGCATGGTTTTCATTTGAGTTCCTGCTGCGATCCATTCAGGCAGAGAACAAGTGTGCTTTCCTGAAAACTCCGCTCAACATCATCGACATCCTGGCCATTCTGCCTTTCTATATTTCTCTCATTGTGGATACGGTCTCCACAAAAAACAGCAGCAAGCCTGGTGGGGGATCTGGGAACAAGTACCTGGAGAGAGTGGGCCTAGTGCTGCGCTTCCTGCGGGCTCTGCGCATCCTGTACGTGATGAGGCTGGCGCGGCACTCGCTGGGGTTGCAGACGCTGGGGCTCACCGTGCGCCGCTGCACCAGGGAGTTCGGCCTCCTCCTGCTCTTCCTTTGTGTCGCCATGGCCCTCTTCTCACCACTGGTGTACTTGGCCGAGAGTGAACTGGGAGCCAAGCAAGAATTCACCAGCGTCCCCACCAGTTACTGGTGGGCTGTGATCTCCATGACAACTGTTGGCTACGGGGACATGGTGCCTCGTAGCATCCCTGGACAGGTGGTAGCCCTGAGCAGTATCTTAAGTGGGATTTTGCTGATGGCTTTCCCAGTCACATCCATCTTTCATACCTTTTCCCGTTCCTACAGTGAGCTGAAGGAGCAGCAGCAACGAGCAGCCAGCAGGCAAGTGCGCAAGCTACCAGAGAACACTGAACTCCCAGGTGATGACAGTACAAGGGGGCTCAGTGCCACATTCCCAACAAGTGTTGCTGGACAGGACAGTCCACCCATGGTGGACCAGTAAGACGAGAAGTTCTTGACCCTGAACAGATGCGAACATACGTTGGCAGCACAAGAAGCAGTGGACAAGGGAGGTCAGTTCTGAAAGAAGAACCTCCTGAACTGCATAAATGAGGGGCAGACACACACAAAGTTGTCTCTAAAGACCAACTTTTGATCTTAAGGGCCCTCTGAAAAGTACCCTTAGAAACTCTGCCAAGTACAGCTCTGCTCCATTGCTTTTCTTAGGGCTTTTTTTTTCTATTGAACAGGTATTTTTGGGTATCCCCAAGGAGCAGCCATTGAACGTAGCCAGCCAGGATAATGTAACATGAAGCACAGCCTGTACCAGGGTGCCATTTGGCAGAGTAACCAGCGTGCCACTTCCTCCCTGCCCTGCTCGGTGGCACTCATGTATGAGGGGCTAAGTGAGGGGGCTCCCCATGCTGTGACGCCCCACAGCATGTTTGTTTTGGCAGCTCCACCAAGGAACACAAACCTCAGACAAGCCAAGGGGTGATGAGGGCAAGAGAAGGGCAGAAGCATCCCTTCAGCTTTGCCAGGGGCTTGGTTTTGTCTTCTACAGATGAGGCAGCGCAGCCAGGGCTGCCAGCGCTGACTCGTGTCCTAGAACAGTTTGCATTATTTAGTAGAGATGTGTATTTACCATCCTAAGCTTTGTATCTTAGCCCCATGACTGAAATATACATACAAACAATCTTTCTGACTGTGGTACTGAATGTTAACTTGCTTTTTTTTCCTTTGCTAACAGTTGAATATAACAAATATCATTACAAGTCATGCCATTTCCCCACTTTCTGTTAAGTATTAAGTATTTCTGTTAAGTGTTAAGTATCTCGTGTATCAAACAATATGTTTAGCAGACGACTGAACCAAGCTGAACTATATGCAGCCCAAGAAAGGGAGGGTGATGTTAAACCAGCCGTGACTCCCAGCTCTGCAGTCTTCCTCAGCAGTGGTGACTGCAGTGACTGCAGTCATGTGCAAACAGGAGTAGTCCAAACCCAGTGAAGTCAATGAGACACCTTCAGTGGGCTCTGGCCTGAGCTGCAATGTAGCAGCTGTGCTCTAGTTAGCAGTAGCCTTTTTTCCCCCCTCCTACTAAGAAAAAGACAATCTTGTCATTAGAATTAGCATTCTGGCTTTTTCATTAGTCTCGAAAGATTTAAGTCAATTTAAAGGGAATATTAATCATATGATAGCATCTGCATGTTTGCTTACTGATGCTGTGAGCTCTCCAGCCCCCACCCTGGAGGAGCTGTGTAGGTGGTCCAAGTCAGGATACTGTGTGGGTCTTTCAGTGCTCCTACAGGCAGGATATGATCAGGGAATGGAGGGAGATGGAACATAACAGCCTCTGGTACCTATGACACCATTTGTACTAAAGCCATGCAGTGTCATCCTCCATATTCTCCTCCTGCCAGGAAAGGAACAATAGCTGATGCAATGAAGATGGGATTTGTCCGGTTTGGGGTATTTTTTTGCCTCAGTGTATGTTGTAACACACCAATCCTACATTAGCAAACTCTCATATTAAGCCATTCCTTATAGGAATGAAGCAAGGGAAATTAAAAGGTTACACTTTATTTTAATAAAAATTAAAAGCTTAGTTGCTGAATGCATGCGTCTGATGATCGGGTGCGGGGCGAGGTGGTGTTTTGCCATGCTGATGTGAAGCCATGCCCACCAGTGCTCCAGCCAGGGTCCCATGCCGCTGACTCTGTCTGGCCCACAGCAGTGCTGATACTGCTCCTTTGCAGCCATGGTCGGGCCAGAGAGCCCTGGGCAGCACGAGGGGGTCACTGGGCCAGGTTACAGAGCTCGGAGCAGCAGGTGTGTTACACAGCTCACTGCTGAGCACTGGAAGAGATGGAGACAGCAAGACCCTACAGGCTGCATTGGGTCTCCAAACCCCCAGATGTGTTGAACTACAAGCAAACCAAACACAGCCTCACGCACCAGGGCTCTGCCCATCCTTCACAGCCCACCACCACCAGGAACACATCCGCTCCTTTTGCCACCGAGGAGGGCCAAGGGCTGGGGGATGGTGCCTGGGCTGACTCAGACTACTTGCAAGGCAATACCAGCACTGGATTGCTGTGACTCATGAAAGATTTTATTGTTTTTTTAATCCTGATGCAGGCGTTTCTTGGATTAAGGCTTATTAAGATTTGGCATCAGGGATACAGCTTTGCAGCCGGCTGCTTGCAAACCAGCAAAATGAGCAGTGTGAGGGGGCAAAGTGTGGCATGGTGCTAAGGGGCAGCACTGCATTTTCTGGTGGCATTTGGGTGCTCAGTCTTCACGTGGGACCCAGCAGATTCACCCCCACAAGTTCACCTTTTATGGTACTTTGGTTCGTGCACACTAGGTGCTAGTTCATGCTCTGTCTCCGGTGTGAAAGAAGGGGCCATGGCTAGTGTGCGTGGAGGGTGCAGAATACATCTCCTCAAGGTGGTGAAGCCCACGAATTGTCAGCAGCATTAGCTTAATCCTAGAAAAGCCACGTTGGAGTAGACATCCTTGCAGAATGAAGAGTTTCACACCTGCAGTGCTAGCAAATAACCATGAATGAATGCTACTTTTGGCCCTGCAGCATGAAAAAAACCAGCACTGGGACAGCAAACTGCAGCTCAGCAGCTGTATAGAAAAACAGACGGATGACACACATCATATTATTGCTGTGCTCCATCAAGTTGCTATTGTCCTACAATAGCAAGTTCTTTGTATTTTTCAAAAGGCACATAATTAATTCCAGAATGCCAGAGTTTTTACTAAAGTGACAAAACCCACTCATTATGCCCGTTAGTCAAAGCCTGGCTTTTAATAAAGTTTCATTTCATCTATTGAGATGACAGATGAGGAAACAAATATAAACCAGGAACCTTTTAAACAAATTATTTTTGGAAGCTGTATAAAGTTGTGATGCACACATTGCCAGACATAAAAGATACTCAGAGGAGAGTGAGTTTCACCCAGGGCAGCTGTTGTTATGGGTGATGCTTATTACTTTTGATCAGCTGCTGGAGAGTGTTGGTTTTGTTGTGTATGGTGGTTGTTTTTCTTTGATACAGCACACAGATGATTATGGCCATTTATCTCTAGCTATAATAACTATAATAAATGCCACACATGTCTGCATATATACCAATGCCAGCGGGTAGTTACACTTGTTTCACTGAACAACCTAGTGCTTCATGATTGTAGAATGCTAGTTTTGCCCCAAGGAAAAAGAAAAAAAGAAAAGGAAAGAAAATATTCCTGTCTCTCATATGGGACAGAGACTCACAACACATGTGAGCAAAGCTGCCTCTTCTACATGTCCACCTTGGTGACAACATGCATGGACCTGGACCTACAAATTCCAGCAGCTGGCAACAATAATCATCTAAAAACCATGACTATGAGAGTTAAGAATGCATTAACTAGTAAAGGGACAGAGTTAAAGGGAATGGCACAAAGTCAAACACAACTTTGCTCATACAGCACATGTGCACAGCCATCTCCTACCTCACAGCAACCTCGATTAAACACTAATCACAAAAAAACTTTGACACTGGTATCATCCCCTCAGCTGCAAGCCAGACAGAAGTTGCTGTCTCACAGTGATGAGGCCAGAATGGGCACAGGCTATGGCGACCTCACAGCAGATGCTTCAGGGAAGCAAAGCATCCTTGGCTCTCCCTGGCACCTACAAGCCACAGCCTTAGAAGACTATGAAGCCTTGGGCTGGAAAATGACAGAGGCTCATGGAAGGGTTGATGGGTAGAGAAATCCAGCATGATTCTGCTAGCCCATCTGAGGTTGAGCTAAGCCCCTCAGTTTCGTAGCACAGCTAAGCTAGCACCTACAAGAGCCAAATCCACATAAGCTGGGACACAGAAGGGGCAGGGCCAGAGATCTGAAGTCCTAAGTCTGTGTTTGCTATCAGGGCATTTCCAAATGCTGACATCCACTGGGGGACTGGCTGCTCTACAAGGCTGTTTACAGGGAAACCTGCCTCTGCTCCAGGACACATCTCACATTTTGTTCTAGTTCCTGTCTCTTATTTACTGCTGTTGGCACAGGCATCCAGGCAGTCTGTTTATTTATTGGCATATTGTTGACTTACACATTAATGCCTGCTTTGTCACAGAAAGCCTCCAACAAAGCTACAGTTGTCAGTCAGGTCCTTGAACCTTGTTTGGCTCTCAAGAGTGAGTCTGATCACAACCATATTTAACAAACAGAACCTGTGGGCCAACTTTTATTACCCAGTGCCAAATGTGAGCTTTATTTTTCATCTTAAATGTTTTTAAATTGCACCTAACTCCATGCATCCCAAACATCTAACCATGAAATCTCTTCCTCTGTGGAACTGCAGTGCAGAGCACTATCTGCTGTGCACAGCCAAGGGAGAGATTTGCCTGAGGGTGGCCAGGCCCAGCACTGCACCAGCCAGCAGGACATGGGTCAGGCTGCTGCAGTGTCCAGAGATGGGGCTCCCTGTTGTTTCATTTAGGGACAGCCCCACCACTGGCTTCCCACCAGTAAGCCAGAACAGCAGCTAGTAACACCAATACTATTTGGGATAGATGGTGCAGCCACTGTGAGTAATGAGCAGGCTTGGCTGTTGTGGGAACTGTGTGGGTTATTGTCTCCACTGCCAGCAAAGTGTTAACGCAACTAGCAGGTTTTACTCCCCATCCTCATGGTCCTCCTCTTTTTCTCCCCACTTTGCTGATTTACCTCACTTTGCCCTTCAGGTCTTGATTTTCATTCATTTCCTTCCCTCTGGGAGTCTCTCCCTTCAGCCCCTTACTTGAGCAAGCTCAGCCTCTCCCACCTCTCTCCTTCTGCCCTTCCTGACCCTCTCTCCTGTGCCTCCAGCTATCTTTCCTCCCCAACTCTTCTTCTCCAGCTTCCACAGCCATTGCACATAGCAACAGCAAAACCCCCTCCCCATGCCAGAGCAGCTGAACAGCCTGGCAAGATCCAGAAGGTACACAGTGGCCACAAGGCTGGTCCTGACAGTTTTGGCTCATTTTTCCATTCTGAATCAACAGGGAGGGTGGCCAAGACTCCTCCTGGGACAGTAGTTGGCCATGAGATGAACGCTCATCTTCCTCCTTATCTTCTGTGCAGAGGCTGCAAAGAGCATGTTCCCTATCTGTGTCCCATCTTCAATCTCAAATATTTTCATGACATGGGTTTTTTTTAAAGCTACATAATAATCTGTTAGTAAATTTGTTTTTACTATGAGCATCACAAGAACAAATGAGTTATGTGGTCATGAGGGTAAAGTTTACCTATGGAAGAGCAGGGGACAGAAATCCAGAATCCCTGTTGTGCATCATGGCCTCAGGACAATTTATGCCTTGTGCTCACCCACTCATCAGAGGGGAAAAGCAAACAAATTATTCCTACTGACAGTGCTGTAGACAAGATGAATTATAGTAAGAGGTAAGAAGCACACATTTTATACCTGAACAAAACAAAGCAACACTGCAATTTATATATAATAGGTAATTTTTATTAAAAAAAACATTGCAACTGACAGAAAAAATAAACTCCATGAAATGTGCCATACATTCAAAGAGATGTATTTAAAGTAATTGATTTCTTATTCTCTGAGGTGATCATGGATACAGATACTTCCTGACAATTAGAGAACAAAACCAAAGTTCTGTAACACTTTGTCCCTAAAGTACCTTGCAAGATGAAGTTTAGGAGTTCCTGGCCAAGAGTCCTACCTTGCTAAATGCCACACACAGAAGATGACTCAGACATGGTTTCACTGGCTTCTCTTCCAGCATTTGCAGCTCTGGTGTGAATGAGTCTGGTCTGCAGAGCTTGCTGGCTTTGGTATTGATGACAGACTCAAGAATCTGCCCAAGGAAGAGTCCCAAAAGGAAAAAACAGAAGTTGTTATATCCTCAGTAATATTTGTAGTTCAAAGCCAAAGGGGTGGCCAAAAGTGTGCATTCCCAGGTGAAGCTATAACATACAGAAGTATGTTTCTTACAAACCATTAATTTCTTACATCCCTGTTTCACAGAATATTAGAAAAGGACCACCATGTACAAAAATCTTACCATTACAAGTTATTAAAAAAACCCTTCAGACCATTAAAACACACAATAAAGTGTTTGTTTGCAAACAGTAGAAATACAATCCTCATTAAAGCAGCATACCAAAGAAGCCAGTTGTAAAGTACGTTTTCAATTAAAAAAAGACAAAAGCCCAGATGTTCCTGTAACACAACCAGAACATTGGAGAAGAGAGAGGAACAAAACATTCATAGTCTGCCATGCCGAGTACATTGTCTTTGTAAGGTCACTTCAGGCCTAAGAGTATGGTATTGAACAAAGAGCATGGAGTCAGTGCCTGGGCAGAGGGTGATTCCCCTCCACTGGACAGTTTGCCAGAGATGAAGACAGTCCAGACTCAAATTGTGAGGTTCCCAAATAAAGCACAGTAGGGGAAGTATCTGATTTACACACTGAAGTTATCAAACCTCAGACTTGCTGCCATCAGTAAGAAAACAAACTTTTGGGCTATTCTCGGAAAAAAATGTGAT